CTTAGGAATCTTTGTGAATCTAGAATGTGACTCATCGCCACACTTTGAGATGTTACTCACCGATTCATTAAATGGTTTCGCTGAAACGAGCTGTCGTCTCTCTTCACCCGGTAGTGGAAATTCCACATTACTATGGCAGGTGGGCTAGGTTATGCTCAGGACAACCCCTGCTGCTGTTGTTTGACCAAAAAAGAAGTACTTATTTTTATTGATACATAGAGTAAATAACTCTAGAACATGTTTTATCCTAAATGAAAATGACCTTCAGTGTTTCGGCCAATATCTGTCTTCCAGACTTTAGTTAACCAGCAGCATTGATTGAAACGCGTGAACTCTGAACTGGTTTCAGCCTGCTGGTGCTCATCAACAGAGCCACCGTGTAGCGAAATCTCTGATAGATTGTACAGAGCGAAAGCGAGTGCCTTGGGGTTTGCCGGAGTCGAGAAGAAAATCCTCGACTTTCGCGAAAAGAACGCGGTGCTCCTACGCCGCGCAGTGGCTAGTAAGCGGAACTGCAGTTCCCACAGCGACGCATCCACCGCAGCACCCGCGAGTAAACGAACGGTCTCGATTCACAGTCACGGTTCGATTAAATAGAAGCGGCGAATGCGCCCCAGTGGCAACTCGTGACTGCGGGGGGTGATGTGAACTCATTACGTGTGACGTATGCGAATCGTGAAATATGATTTGATCATCGTAAGTTTAGGAATCTTTATGAATCAGGAATGTGACGCACCGCCACGCTTCGAGATGTTACCGATTCATTAAATGGTTTCGCCTGTGCTCAAACGAGCTGTCGTCTCTCTTGACCCGGTAGTGGAAATTCCACATTACTATGGCAGGTGGGCTAGGTTATGCCCAGGACTGCTGTTGTTTGATCAAAAAAGCGGTACTTATTTTTATTGATCCGAGGGATGATGGTGGGACAAGTCGACCTCTAACAAGAATGTTAACTCTTAGCCCTATGATTGAGAATCACGCGCTCATTAATAGTGCCGTTAGTTTTTTTGTCTTATACGGGCCTTCGGGTCTGCGACGATAAACCTCGTGTCAAACCAGAGGCGTGCATTTAAACGTATCCATTGTGCTTGCAAGAGGAGTTGAAGGCATTTGTCAATGCGTTATTTACTTGCACTACACACGCAACACTAACAATGCGGTTGTTGCGTGTAATTGGCGAGAATGCAATGTTGTGCCCGGGTCACAGGCGAGGCACGTAAGTGACCCAGCGGTTGGCGCACTGACCACCGGCCACACTCTCCACGTGTTTTCAATGACTTGTGGACATTCTTTGTTGCCCACGTGCGGTTAACCTCGCCGGTGGTGCCGAAGGAGGAAAGGGGAGGGGAGGGCGGGAGCTTGGAGAGCAACACGCGCGCGCGAAACACTCGAATCGCCTGCTGCTCGTCGTGCAAAGATTGCAGACATCAGACCTCATCGAGATTCGTATAGCGGCGGCCTTATTCCAAGGCGCTTTACAGCAGGGAGACTTCAGTTGAAACCGAGGCTTTCGGATGACGCGGCATTTAACGTCGTAGGGAGTGAGAGTCGAATGCAAATCGACTTGACGTTGTATGGTTTTGTCGATGGACTCTTATTGAGATAGAAACCCGTACACAACTGTGAGTTACCCTCCTTGCCAGAAGCATATGGTCACGATTCCGATTGTGAACATTCAATTGAGCATTATACGAGGCCACTTTCATGCACTGCGCACCATTGGGTTTGGAATCCCGCAATTCTTTGTCGGCCTTACGCGTTTGCACATGTGTTGAGGAAGTGTGTACTTGCCCGCCCACAAGCATTGCCTGCGAGTTACAGTAATTCCAAACATCTTTTCATCATCAGCAGCCATGATCGATCCACTGCTAGATGAAGGCTTCCCCAGGCCGTCGCCATCACTCGCAGTCCCGTGTGGAAGATGTGTCTCTCCATGCATCTCCCACTACCTCACCGTGTCCACGTCCAACACAGGCATTACTGTGAGTGTTTCTATGTATAGTGTAGAATGTCTCATGTATCCCTACACGAACCGCTTTGGATGAGTGGCGAGATCAGCTTTGTCTTAATTAGTGGGTGTTTGAGGCAGAGGTAATGTCCCTGCTAGGATGGGGTCGGTGAGTTGGACTTCATCAAAGAAACTCGTAAATAAACGTCTGGCTTTTGAGTACAAGTACGTGTGGTGGATGCTAGGAAGTTCAACACGTAGGCTTTCGCGACAAATACGATGCTAGGAACTTCATGGAAGGATCAACTCGGCAACTTTAAAATCTCGAGATCCTACAGATTTTCCATGTACAGTCTACGGGTTTGTTATGTAGATCCTACAGGTGCCACGGAAGGTCCACAGAATGTTCATGCGCAGTTTGCCGAATTTCCGTGTGCAGCTTACGAGAATTGTCATCTACATATCGTGGGATTGGCGCGTGCAACCCCCGTATTGTTTTTTTGTGTTTAGTGTTTTTTGTGTTTAGTGTTTGTTTCCTTTTGCGTTTAATTGTTGACCTTTCCCCGCACCTCTGATTAGCACGGTTGGCTACGTACGGTGCGAAAGAAGTTCAACATACTACGTGCTTATAACTTTATTTGTATTTATTTTTTCTAGCGACTAGCTTACCCTTTCTCAACTTTGCACTCCTCTGACTCGAGCGCCCCTACTGGCCATCTGCGAAAAAGAGCTTCATAGCTCTTCGGATTCCTCCTCCCGAATAAATGAATGAATACAAAGAACAAAATATTCTGAAATCACGCGAGAGCGCGGGCTCGACACCGCGCGCCTTTTCCCATTCGACGGGCAAACCTCGCGAAGGCGCGGCAGCTGCACCGCTTGTCGCGTACGGAACGGGCGATGATGGCAACTGACGGCGGCTACGGCGGTTAGCGGAGCCGCGGATGTTAAAAACAAAACGCGACGCGTCTTGAGAGTGCGCGTTTCCCATTGTGGGCAGTGCAGCCGTGGTGCTTCAGGGATCTCGCTCTCTCGCGCTCTCCCTCCCTCGCCCAATAATGGGGTCGAGGTGAGTGCCCGTCAACAAAGCCTCCATTGCCATGAAAAAGGCAGGTGGTGGCTCGCTAATGTGTTGAAGCGAGATGCTTCAGCTTGTATTTTCGGTTTTTTCCCCCTGTTCTTCACCACTCGGTATGAAAGGAGCTAGCAAAACTAATATGGAAGCATCAGCAGCGGCTACCAAGGCCAGAGTGTGACATAGAAATCTGCCGATGCGCATAAATCGTTTTCCTCGTATGCGCTTACTTTTTACTTAAGTGTATGATCAATAATATTTGGCGGGTTCTATTTAGGACCACTGATACAGATCACCATGGGACCGGACCACTGAGAATTCGTCCCGGCTCTCGCAGATCGGGGATGCTCAGCAGGACCTGAGTTAGTACTCGGATATGCGACCAACCAGGGCTTGCCAGGTGTTGTAGGTTTGGGGCTGCGAGGTGTGGCGAGGAAGTGGCATTGTCGAGTGTCTCACGCCTTCGCACGGAGCGTGGTTGTTTTCCTCTTGATTTCCTCCCACGTGAAGTCAAACTCTCATTCATGGAATTGGTCAAACGTCCCACTGGAGCAGGGTCCTCTTGCTAACGCCTCGAGACTCGGTTGAGGTTTTTGTCCGGGCGAAAAACTGGCGGTGTTCTGATACTATCATTGTTCAGTGCGAATTTCGTGTCGGTGGAAAAACATCGTAAGTCAAACTCCAGCGTCTCCCTACTTAGGACAACGAGGAGCAGAGATGACATGTGTCTTCCGTCGTCACTGCTGGCGTCCCGTCATGCAAAGCACGTGTGAGCCAATGCAACGCGTGGCCTGGATAAATGCGCGAACACACAAAATCACGGTTTTGTTGCCGTTGTTGTATTCACCCCGAAGGAGCGAGTGTGGGCATCCTCGCAAGTGCACACGGCACATCTTGCCAACAGCGGCGTAAGCACGCCGCAGGGGCGTCGTAGCGAGCGGTTGTCATGGGACCCTGGTGCAAGGCGTGAAGCGAAGGGAGAGGCGGCGCATCCGTTCACATTTCCCCCCTCTCCATAGCCCACGCTACCTGGGCCCCCCTGTGGCCCGTGGGATCCGGCGTGCAGTCGCACCGCCTGAACACTCGGATGTCGACGCCACTGGCTGGCTGGCAGCGAAGCGACGGCGGTGGGTTCCCGTTGTGAATTTCCGTGCGGTTTACCCGGTGTGTGGGAGGGGGTGGGGAGGCAGTGAGGATAGGGGTCGTGTGTAATAGTGGGCTGGGGCGGTGAGACAAGCGGGGACCACCCCCCCCCCACCACTAACCCCCCCCCCCACCAATTCCCCCACCACCCCCGTCTATTCTCACGTGCCGAGCCACGCCACCTGTGCCCACGGGTGTTCCAGCGGTGCCGCATCCATTCACGTTTCCGCTCCGCCGTGTCAACACGCTCCGTGTTTGATGCGTGTCCTGTGCAGCGTGCACGCGCGTGTGTGCGCGAGGGTGATGAAAAGGGGGAGGCGAAGGGGATGGTCGGCAGCGCTCTGATGAACTCGCACGCTGGACACGTGGTTAGCGGAAAGGGCCATCGTCCGGCAGTGTCGTCGAGTGCGGTTGGGTTGGGGCGGCGGATGCAGGGGCAGGACTGCGGGCGTAGCGGCTCGGCTCATGGAGATGTGCTCACGAGTAGGTGGCTTCTCGTTTGCGACAAAGAACAAAAAACAAGCTTGGTTGATTCACGTGTGCACACGCGCGCACGCACGCGCACATACACACATGTAAACACACACAAATGTAACACAACATGTCAGGAAGAGTCAAATATGCACAGGTACACACCACTGCAACCACACGTAAACACACGTGCACGCATAAGCACGCACACACGCACACACACACCACACACATGCGCACACACCACACACACGCACACATACACCACACACATGCGCACACACCACACACACGCACACACACCACACACATGCGTGTGCGGCCGCGTCAGCTGTGCGGTTTGTGTGTGTGTGCTGCCCCTAGACCCATCTTCATATGACAGCATCAGGCGCACAGCGACTTGGACAGGCGCTCCGACCACCCCAACCACTAAAGGTGAGACAACGTCACAATGCGCCACCACCAGCAGCAGCATCACCATCAGCCCTGATTTATCCACAGCTGAGTAAATCCGTGTCCATATTTGTGGCCTCGCCCATCCCTGAGTTATGCCGCCAAAGTCTCCACCCTCCCCCACACTCCCCTCGGTCCCTGTAACCCTGCCTGGTCCGATGGAACAGACCCCAAAACAGAGTTTGATTTTGTGTCTGTATAGATTGTAATATGAACGGTGGCGCCGTGGTTTTCGCACTGCGCTACGAAGCCGGCGACCCGAGTTCGATTAGTCCTCACGACCAGCACCAGCGACCATTATCTGAATCTAAACTTCCACTAGGTCGACTCAGCCTTAAAAATCACTGCCCAGAGCAGAGTGTAACATTGTCACTGGGAAGACAAAGGTGGCCTGGGCGTGGTATTGGCCTACCCACTCCCACGTGTTCCCGTGCCGGCCTTCATTGGTGCTCGCAAACAGCACTTTCCCCAACAGTCTGTCAAGGCTATAGGGGGGAGCTTTGCCTGTTTTTTTATATTGTAACGATTGTTGATCGCCTTTGTGTTTCTTCTCTTTGTGCAAAGGGAGCACGCCCAGCGTGCAGAGCCTAAACAAATCCACCGAGGGGCGCACACAACCTGGTACGGCGTTTCGCGTGTCACAATCCACCCGCCTTGCATTCATGAACGGGGTGGGGGGTTTGTTATCGTTTGCATTGGTTCAGAGCGTTGTGTGCGTGTGCGGTGGTCGTGGTGGTGGTCGTGGTGCGGGACTTCTCATGAGATTTGCGTCTAATTGTTTTGCGGGGCGCAATAGTGCAACGGCTAGCGCGATGCGCCACGAACCCGGCCACCCGAGTTCGATTCCCGCTCACGCTCAACACCGGTGACGGATTATCTGAACCGTCCTGGGCCTTCCCCGAGGTCGACTCGAACTTAAAAATGAGTACCTGGTGCGGAGTATTAAAACATTCGCCTCTGGGGAGACAAAGGCGGCCGAGCGTTATGCTGGCCCACCCACCCCCTCGTGTGCCGTGCCGGCCGTCGTAGGTGCTCGCCGACAGCATTTGTCACAAGTCTGTTCAGGGAAATATTTGTGCCGGTCTTCACGTGCGATTTTCCTCCTCTGTTTTTGTGATTACAGATCCCTACCAGATCCTCGGACCGACGAGCAGTCGCCTCGCTAACCCCGGTGCGTATTCTCCCACCCACTTCGGATGAGCAGAGCCGTAGCCAGACGCTTTATAAAGTCAACTTTATTTTAATTTTACCAGGTCAGGTCCAATGAGATATATCGCTCTTTTCTTCGTACGCGACCTGGCTATCACAAATGATAGCTCAACGAAAGTGGCTTATCATCGTGTGGAAATGTATAGCTGCTAAATACTCTAAATGCACGTCGATTCTAAATGTGGAGGAAAAGCCGGAGGACCCGGAGAAAAATCCATGCGACCACAGGGAGAGAAAACATGCAAACTCCAAATATGCAGCAGGCGTCAGGGTTGGGATCGAACCCACGACCTCTGTATACCAGGCGAGGTAGTTAACATCTCGCCACCTGTGGCGATGCTGCTATATCTCCAGTGGTGCATAATTAATGCAATTATACAATGTCAAAAACGCTGCGTGGTCTTAAAATGAACTTAATATATATTAGATAATTATTGACGTTTCTGGCAATGGCCATTCTTTAAAGGACATAAATAGAGGGGCTAGAGAGATCTAAGAGTAGGAAAATAAGAGTTGAAGACCACACTTGTTTACACCATGGGCACCTGATGGGAATTGCATGTAAAACATTATTGTCTGTATCATTGTTGATCTTCTTTTGCAACGTCAACCGTGCTAATTGCATTGTGCGGGGGAAGGACAACAAACTAAACACACAAAGCAGTTTTAAAGGAATGAGTTTTCAATCGAGATTTAAAAGTTCCATAGCTCTGCATCGAGACAACGTATCATCATTGCGCCCCCCCCCCCCTTCTTCCACCTCCCCCCACTCACCCCCACTCACCTCCATCCCCCACTCACCCCCACCAGCCCCAACTCACCCCCTCATCCGCCCTAGCCCCACCCACCCCCCGGCACTGGCACTGCCCCACCAATAAGTTTGAGCCACCAGCCGCCACGTTACAAAAGCTCACTCCGTTTCCAAACAATTGGGGGTTCGACATTCGGGTGACGCTCCCCCCTCGGCAGGGGGTGCCAGGGGCAGCCCACCCTCTGCCCCCCCCCACTTCGATCTCCCATGCCACCCCCACCCCCCACCCATGGGAGTTTGGCTACTTCTTGATGGACCGGTTGGTACGATTACTTCGGAAGCCGATTAAGATGCCACTGCTGCTCACGATATGAAATCATGACGTTGGTGAAAATTGCTCACAGTGATGATATGATGCTGTTGCTGCCGATTCTGTTGCTACTGATGATGACGATGATCATGATTTGATGATGCCGAATGCCGATTTACGACTGAATGCATGAATCGCCGCTGCCACTGCCGCTGCTAATCACGATGACAATACAATGTGCCGATTGCGATGACCCCGTTGATGGCTAACGCTGACGCCGAATGTTATGATTGGTGATGCCCTATGGTAGCAGCAGCTGACGCCGCCCGCCACGCCGACGGCGGCGCGCTCGAACGTTGCCAACAACCAATGCCGTTCTCCTCCTCCTCGCTGCTCCTGATGCGCACAGGGAGCGGCCAGATCCAGCTGTGGCAGTTCCTCCTCGAGCTGCTCTCCGACAGCTCCAACGCCAACTGCATCACGTGGGAGGGCACCAACGGCGAGTTCAAGATGACCGACCCGGACGAGGTGGCGCGCCGCTGGGGCGAGCGCAAGTCCAAGCCCAACATGAACTACGACAAGCTGAGCCGCGCGCTGCGCTACTACTACGACAAGAACATCATGACCAAGGTGCACGGCAAGCGCTACGCCTACAAGTTCGACTTCCACGGCATCGCACAGGCGCTGCAGCCGCACCCCACCGAGTCGAGCGTCTACAAGTACCCGTCGGAGCTGTCCTACGTGTCGCCGTACCACGCGCACCACCAGCAGAAGATCAACTTCGTGTCGCAGCACCCGCCGCCCTCGATGCCCGCCACCACCTCGAGTTTCTTCGCGGCCACCGCGCCCTACTGGAGCTCGCCGGCGGCTGCCTGGCATGTACCCGGCGCCGCCCGGAGTGGCGCGGCACCCCAGCCCCCACGTGCCCTCGCACCTGGGCACCTATTATTGAGCGTGGTGGTGGTGATGGGGGTGGTGGTGGGGCTGGTGGTGGGGGATTAGAAGGGTCGGGGGTGGTGGCGGTAGCATGCCATGCCGAGTGGTTGGTAGTGGGTTCCTGTAGTGGTTGTAGTAGTAGTGGTGGTGGTAGTCACCTGTGCCGGACTTGCAATTTTCCTGTGGGTTGGGGGGGGGTTGGAGAAGCAATGTTACAAAGTGTACCCAAAAAAGTAGTTCCTGTGTGGGGTTAGGCCACAACCCACGCGACGTCACCGGGTGGATGGGACAACGTCGCAAGGCACAACTTGCTTGCAACTCCCCCCCCCCCCTCGCCATCCATTCGCCCCACTCCTGCAACGTCTGGACGATGCTTGCAAACGAGCACTGATGCGGTGTGAATTTAAGAAGCATGAATATCTTGACCAGATATTGATGACATTTTGTATTCAGGTCACGTCAAAGTCAAAAGTGTTTTCCGGCTCAACTGACCAATGTTTTTTCTGCGCGTATTTTGTCTTCATCACCTCTGAGCCAGTGGTGACAATTCCACATTCCAATGACCGGGAGCAGTCCATTGCACATGACGACCACTGCTAGGACTTCCCACGGAGTGGTGGTAGTCGTTGCTAGCGAGCCCACAGCTGCGATGGGCTGCCTCGGAATGAAACTCTCCAGCCGAGTCAAGCGCTCCATTCCACTGGGTCACCAGCACAGGATGTATCCCAAGTAGCGTAATTTCAGACGTTTGGTAACGAACACCCCCCCCCTCCCTACTGCAGTGTCAACCCTGTGTGAGGAAGGGGGGGGGGCACAGTTTGCTTTGCGGAGATCGCTGTCTCACCCACAGTCACCTGTTGCGGGCCAGACGATCTGTGCCACCGTTTCTTCTGGGTACACTTTGTAAAGATGCGGAGAGAAGAGCAACGAGAGACGATTAAGTCTGCACCACCACCGCCACCACCACCACCACCATCGCAGCAACAACAAGAACAACAACCAGACATGTCTGCCTGTCAGCAACAGCAACAACAAAAGCTGAATGACCCAGGCACAGTGAACAAAGATGGACAGCGCGTGACAATACGACGTGTCTCCTTGAGACAGGAACAATGATTTTTTAAGAGACTTTTTTTTTTAAATGGCCGCTGTCGTCTTCAAGCAAGCGCCTGCTTGACCTCCTTGAACTCAAAGAGGTGCACCTCCTCCACTGGATTTGTAATACTGTAACCGTAAACGTGAGAAGAATATCCCTTGACGGAGCGCACTCACTCGCCACCAAAGTTCTCAATGTGATGTTGTGTGTCGAAGAAAACAAAAATAATAATGAAACGCAAAGCAGCATTTGTAAGGAGTTGTATCGGGCACGACGGAAACTTGCCACGTGTGCTGCGTAGTTGCACTGAAATGCGGAAAGGGAGAAAAAAAACCCTCTGTTACCCCAACTTATTTTGTCTACCGCGCATAGAATATCCCAAGGACCCAGAACCACTTGCTCTCACAATCCTAATCGTGTACTGTACAATATTATTCGAAGCGCGTCCCGGTGTGGAATTATTTTGTCGTCGTCGTTTTTGTAATTAAAAAAAGAAGCCTCTCTTCCACCACCACTTTGTGAAAACAACGAATGCAAGGCATTGCAAGGTATCATCCGCCCGTCTCCGGGGCCTGCGAGCACAATCAACGCGTCGCGTATCAATTACTGAAAAGTGCCTTTCTTTTCTCTCGTGTTCCCCATTTTGTGTGTGGGTTAAGACCAGCAGCAAAATACGGCCGTATTCGGGTATTAACAATAGGAATAATGACCTTTTTTCTTTTTCAAACATTATCCCGGAAAGAAGAAACCTCACCGAGTCTCAAGACTCTCGTCTTTTTTCCTGTATTCAAGGTGGATCCTGCTGAGGCTCGGGCTGCCCAAGAGGTCTCTTTGAGACCCGTGGGCAGATTGCCACACAGGTTGGGGAGGGTTGGGGGCTGCTATTCACGAGCAACTACAAGAACATTCGGCCAGTTGTTGAGAGGGGGGGGGGGGCGCTTTTTGGTTGAGTCCTGGCGGCAAATTGCCCTCATTTTGCTCTGATCCCCGCCCCCCAAGCCCCAGATTTACAAGAATTGGGTGGCGGCGTGTGGGAGTGAAATCGAGCGAAGAGTCCAGGAGAAAACCCGCCACGCGTACGACGGGGGTGGGAGATGGGGGTGGGGGGGTGACACTTTGGAGATGTATAAAATATGTGAGCACAAGGAGGAGATAAACAAGCCACTCGTCAGTCCCACGCCGTCGTTTTTGTTGTTAAAAGCGCTTCAAAGAGCCGAGTCGCGCGACGTTTTTTTTTCTTCTGCTGTAACCGAATTATTCACCGCTGATTGCATTGAACCCCGGTTCGAATCTCCCACCCGCTCCCCTCCGCCCACAATGTCCCCTCAGCAACGCACGTACACGAACGCTGGGCGTTTGTAAAAACGTCACTTTCACACAAAAAAATATTAAAAGAAAAAGGCAAAAAAAATGTCTTTATACACGTGCCTTGATTTTTTTATGTGTTATCTGTTTTATTGTTGTGTTTTTAAACAGAGATGACTAATTAAATTATGCATTAAATATTATTTGCTAACTCCGCTACGTGACGAGTTGAACTCGGGCTTATATTTGCTAACACACGATGCGTGCAGATGTTTTTTTTGTGTATCTATGTAACGTATTCCATGCCAGGGTTTCCACCCCCAAACTCCAGTCCTTGACACCCACCGTGCCATGCCATTCCACGCACCCCTCCCACCCGCAATGTCCATTTACAAAAATCGAAATAAGTAATGACATGCTGCGCGTGCCTGATGATTGGCAAACTGGTACCACGAGCCCTAGAGCGTGCTGAATCAAATTAAGATCGACAATGCTGCTGCTGTATGTGTGCACATCTGTTTGCCCTTGACCTAAGAACGTTGATTCGAGTAGAGGAGAAGTGTCGTGTTCTTGGCTGTGTTCCGTGATGCAGACAGCGCCAGCAATTTGACTCGGCGCTCTCCCCGTCGCGTTCTGAACGTGCGCAGCAATCATCCGGCGCGTGCGGTGTGCAACCCAACAATTGCATTTTGAACGGAGTAGGCTGGTGAACTTGGAAGGAAAGGAGGCGTGAGTTTGAAGGAAAGCGAGTTTATCATGACCCCCTGTAAAGGACCGAAGACCACCACAGCAATTTCTGCACAATTATTTAACCAGCCACATGAAACCCAAACCACAATGACAGATTTAACAAATGTACAGACTGTCGGAAAGAGTTTTTTTTTTAACCAAACCAAGAGCCGTATTTGTAAAGCGGTGTTTCGCCTGCAGCTGCGTCGTGGGCGGACGTTGACAGCGGCGTTGTGGTGTAAAACTAAATCGTGGTCTTATTTTTCTACGTGTGTCAATGTTGGTCGTGAGCCGCGCACGCGGTTAACCCAAGGCAGCCTGCATTAAGCTAATGTGACAATCTTGTATTATACGTGCTAAATGCAATTTAATAAACGACAATAATAAAAAAAACCCAACCTAACAAGCCTCCATACAACGTGTCTGTCTTGAAGTGGCGTGCCCGCCTTGATGTTGTGTGCGTGTGGTATGCACAGCGCCCTGAATAGCAATCTTCCACACTGCCCCAGGGGTCGTCTTGTCAGTTTTCACTTTCTCTTCACTTCTCTGGTGGCCTACGGCCCCTATGTATGTATGTGGGTGCGCCACGGTGGCTAGGAGATGTTAACTCCCTCGCCTGGTATACAGGATGGTCGTGGGTTCGATCCCGACGCTGATGCTTGTGTGTTTGGAGTTTGCAAGGTCTCCGCGTGATCGCTTTGATTTTTTCCAGGGGCATCCGATTTTTTCTTTCCGCATTTAGAATCGATGTGCATTTAGAGTATTTGGCTACTATAAATGTCCACGTGATAAGCCATTTCGTTGAGCTATCATTCGTGACAGCCAGGTCGCTTCTGAAAAAGAGTCATATAGCTCAGTGGGCCCTACCTTGTTCAAACAAGAAATAGTTTACAGTTTTAGTTGAGTATGTTGAACTTATTTCACTATGGACAGACACCTCGCTGCCTCCAGTTCCACCAGTGAGAGTCACTCAAGGCACGCGACGACTCCCGACCACGCTTGCAGATCTCTAACATTTATTGTGGATTAGACAGACGCGCCGTGGGTCGGGATTAAGGGACGTCGCGGCACACATTGATGGGAGATTGAGATCACGATGAAATATATAAGGCACAGAAATTACGATCAAATCAAGCGGAATGCGCCCGACTTCCGTCACACATCAGAAGCTAAGCCGTGGTTGAGCCTGGCTAGCGCATGGATGGGTGATCACCGTGCGTAAAAACAGGTGTTATAGGCTGCTTATAGCCGACGTCAGCAAAGACCGGTGCAGCAACATAGATTATTCTACCATACTACGTTCCACGCCTTCACCAACCCGCACTGACCTGCGTAGTGAAGTATGGTCAAATAACCCCCATGACCCCTCAATCCAGCAGTGGCTTGACAAAAGGGCCATACGTGTCAAATGTAAAGCCAAGTGGTGCCGTGACAGTTTGATTCACAGTAAGAAGGTTGCGAGTATAGTAATGGTGCTGTACATTCAAATCCCTGTCTGGACTCGACTCAGCCTCTCAGCCCAGTAGGGTCAATGTGTCCGACTATGCAGGAAGATATTATCCCCCCTACCATGGGAATGTGGAATTCCCAGAGCTATATATTTTATGAGCCTTGGTGACGTCAGTCTGGCACGTGTTGTACTGTGGTATCAATAACAGCCATTGACCTTTGGAACCCCGCACTGACCCCTTGAGACCTTCATATGGGCCCTGCTTGTTGGGACGTCCATCCAATATATATTTTTTGAGTTGTATTGCTTTTTGGACTGGAGACCATGGATCCCAGTGAAAACCCACATATGTTAGTGGATAACGCAACCTCCGCACAGGTATGTCAAAAACAAACCTACCTATTCTTGTACTGCCTCCTATAGTCAGCTCATAGCCCTGCGGTTGCTCATCTCACACACGAGATGACCCCCCCCCCCCGCCTCTCTTTATCTTTGCCTGACTGGCCCAGGTTCACACCTCTTGCGCTGGTGCGCAAGCTCCAGAATGTGCCGTCGGTGGTGGCGGCAATCCAAGGGGGAAAAAAGTAGCTTAAAATGTTGACACCTTCCTCCCAAAACAATGCAAATTCGTACAATATCTCATATTCACACATTATCAGAAAATGTATTTCATCATTCGTGCACTGGGCGTCGGCGGGCGTGGAACGCAGCTTTAAGACGGGCTACCGATAATAAGTGTACACATTTTATGAAGATCTTCAATTATACAGCTGAAATCCTGAGCAATTACATGCAAGTGAAGGTGATTCGTTTACTGTAATTTTGATGGCGGCACGATGCCTTGGCCGTGTGTGCGCGTGCGGATTGTGAACTCGTGGCACCGTGCGGTACGACAGCTTTCGTGGGATCTTCATCCAGCAGTGGATTGATCACGGCCGATGATGACGAGTGCTGTGTGCCTATCCGGGGGGGGGGGGGGGGTACGTAGCGTGGGATAAAGGCTCCAGCCGTGGTGTGCACGCCACCGCGCGTGAGATGAAGCATCCACTTTCGAGCAACGGCGGCGTGAATTGTTCGAGTGGTCACGCTGTTTACTGGGCTGCATTGAGATTCCAAACCATGAGCCGCCCGCAAAGTGAATAAGCAGCGGGCGCTCTAAAAGCGCTTGGGCTAATGAGCCCAAGAAGATGGCGAAGCGGCAGAATAAATGATGATGTAATAACGTTCGCTCACAAAGGCGCTATTATGTTCGGGCTTGGGACAGATCAATTCACGTTTATTACCCCCTCTCCCTGAATCCGTCCAAACTGGCCTTCCTGGGTAAATAAACAACATAATTACAACTTAAAATAAGGGGGTGGAGTGGTGGTGCAGTGGTTAGGGCACTGGGATATGAAGCTGCTAAGCTCAGTTCGATTCACGGACAACAGCAGCAGCGAGTGATGTCTGAACTGGTCATGGGCCAAAACCTTCCTTTGTCAGTCCACTGCTGGACGAAGGCCTTATACCACGCGGTGTCGGTTATGGGGGTTGTTTGAGCAGAATTCACCTACGATGGTGAGTGTGGACGAGTGAAGGTTGTTGGCTGTGGGGGGTCAAAACCGGTTCAGATATCACTCCTGACTTATGTTAGCCGTGGTTGGGGATTGAAGTCTGGTCACAGTGCTCCAAACCAATCCTTGCCTCCTGTAACTACAATTAGAATGTATATTTGTATTATTATGAACATGATATAATGGTCGATCCAATTTGAAATAAAAATGCAAATCGTAATATAAGCCTTACATTTGTTTATATTTTTTATCGCGATGTTAATCCCACGAAAGAATCGAGATCATTTGGTCAATTCTGTTCTCCAGGGTGGTCAGGTTGCCCGGCCGCATGCGTGACGTCACGACACTTCAAACAATTCAGAGCCACCCGCAAACCCCCACAGTTGAATCATCTTTGGGTAAAAATATAAATTCGAGAGCAAGATAGTTTCACCTAAAAGCTACGCGTGATTTAAATCAATCGCACGGAATGGCTCAGCGCAAGAAAACGCGTGCCCTGCATGCCGTCGCACGCGATTTACGAAAGCTAAGACGATCAAAGTTAGGCTAAGCGCAGCGAGCGAAAGCATCGCGGAGAGAGGCTGCGCTTCTCCATGAACCTTTCCCTCTCCGCGGTGACCGCACAGGCGAGGAGGCCTCAGGCCACCGCCGCGAGTAAGTACGATCTTGAGAACCATGAGGCTGGTCACAGCCACGCGAACATCCACACCCAACGCACCTGCAAGCAACAGAGAGTTCGTTTGATACTCACGATTCAAATACAACCGCAGGGGGGCGCGGGGGGGGGCGGTGCTTTGTCAGCTTGCTATTTTGCAAAGGGGTGATTGTGCTGGCCCTAATGAAACGGAAGAATAATCGACTTCAAAAGCGTGGCCAATAGCGTAATGATCTGCGGTACACCACATTCCACTACTTGCTCGTCCAATTAGGCAAATTGGGAGTGTTTGTTTGGAAACTGCTGTATCTATCTTTGCCCAACTCAAACAGTGCCAGTGGGGGGCGCGGGGCTCTCTCAAAATTACTCGACGAATATGAAATATACACTTTATACATCAATTAATGTTAGATTGGCTGTACGTGTACAATATTCGTAATCAGTAGCAATCTTACCTGCTTGCTGGAGGCTTCAGCATTACACTTGCAACAATGAAGAGTGAATAACTTGGTTCACTGGTGATGGACATTGTATATTTGTGTTTTATCAAACTTAAT